CAAGTAATAATATATACTCCATATACCCCTCCTTTTTCTCATCACTCTCATCCCTACTGCCCCCCACACAAGTAATTCATTGGGACGAGTTCCAGTTTCATTTCAAGGGGAGAGATGGATTTCCACAGCCTTACAAGGAGAGAACTGCAAGCTCTTTGCAAGAAGAACAAAATCCCAGCTAACCTCACCAATGTCGCCATGGCCGACGCTCTTCAGTCCCTCGAGTTTGTAAGTTTCTTCTTTCAATTAAAAAGCTATATTTCCTGTTTTGTGAAATTGTTTAAATAAGATAGGCAGCATTTTAATTTCATTTCTGAATGATCTGAAAGGAATATTAGTAGTATCTCTTTTAAAATGTAAATAAGATAGGCGGCATTAACCTTTGATATTAGATTGAATCTGAGATTGTTAGGAAGCTCCAGTATGTTGATTTAATAATTTTGGGATTAATTATTGCTTAAAGTTAAAGTTAAAGTTAATTTTTATTTATTTATGTATTTAGTCTGCAAATGATTTATTGGTATCTAATTTCTATATTAACACTCCTTCATGTTTGTTGGATTGTGCCAACCACCAATTCTAAAAGCATTAACTATTGGAAACATTTTTTTAAATATTTGCTTATGTGTGCAACACCAATGATTAAGTTACGATATTGGAATGGATTAAGGCCCGAGGTTGGTTCTTAAGTGTTTTGTGCAACTCTCTATTGGAATAGCAGAGGCGGATTCAGGATTTGAATTTTATGAGTTCGAGTTCGAAATTCTACCACAACCCATTTGATTTGCTTGGTTCGCAATCTATTAATTGTATGTCGTATTTAGTGGATTCTTAAATACTATAAAGGTTTGAGCTAAAGCTAATGTGAACCCTTAAACTTATCAGTTAAGTCCGGCCCTGTGGAGCAGTATGGCTAAATCTACTCTTCTCCATGCCCCAAACCATAAACTTTTTTAATTATGATTCTATGTTCCCAAAATTATTGCCTAAGCTGTGCATGATTAGTACTTCCACAGTTGGATATCTATAGCTGCTTATAACATGTTCATGTAGTTGTACGTTGACATTGTACAATAGAAAGGAAATTCAGTATTATTTTTATATACAGGTTGATGGTATTGAAGAAATCTTGAGTTCATGTGAATCTGAAACCGCAAACTCATCCATGGAGTCTCCTGGGAAGTCAGAAATAGTAACAAGTGTACCTCGGACTTGTCGTCGAGCTACACAACAAAAGGCAATCAAACATGACCCAGAAACTTTGCAGACCTTGACTAGGAGTAGCTGCAGAACGAGAGGAAAGGTGGTCAGAGATGTAGATGAAGCCAAGAACGACCTGCATGAAACTCCTGCATTGCCGACTACCAGAAGAAGGGCTGCAGCAACTTCAGTTCGCGCTAAATTGGAATCCGCAATGAAGGAATGTGAACCAAAAGAGAAATTTGGGGATCAGATTGAGGGAAAAATGAAAGATGTGCCAAAGACACCAGCAGTTGTTCTAACTAGCCAAAGAAAGGAATTGAAGGCAAGTTCAGTTAGGCAAGTGTACAGTACTCGTCGATCAGCAAGGATAGCTGGGAAACCAATGCAGGAGAGCCCACAAGAGAATGAAATGTCAGGAACCCTTACATTTGATGCTTTTCCTGAAGAAACTGAGGAAAGTTTGGAGGTGGATTCTGAGCAGTATTCTATTCACAAGAATGAAGAAGTAGACAAAAATGGTAATGTCCGCAAGCACAAGTAATCCTTAACCTTTTTCTTTTCCTGAACATTACTTGGTGTCTAAGTTCTGACTGACAACTGCAGTACATGTATTGAATTGAAAACGTTAGAAAGTTTGGAGATCAATAATGTATCAGATATTGTATCAGGTCAATATTCATATACCTTGGTACAAAATGAAATAGAAACTGAAGATGTTGTTCAACAAGAAAGTAACAATAACCTGGTTGTTGCGTTAGATACAAAAGCAGAAGAAGGCTCAGAGGAAGTACCACTTGGTCACAACAACAATGGTATGTATTGCTCTGTTCTCAGTGTATGTTGTTGTTTGCTCCAGTCTTCTGCATTACTATTTATATGAATTAACTTGTAGTCTATTTATTTTGATGGCTTATGTATACTGCTCAATTGGTAGAAAGATTCAAGAAAATGGTATCTGTTCTTCTGTCTACTTTTTGTATCAATTGTCTTATCACCATCTCTGTTGTATAGACAATCTCAGTTTACTTAGTACAGTGAATTGTTTCTTGCTTTGTGATAATTAAACAAAATTGTTTCTAGGATCTGAAGATGTGCATATGTCAATAACGGAGGAACTTGAGAATGGAAAAGAAATAGTATCTGAAGGAATGCAGTCTTTGAATGATGTTTCAGGAGCTAAAATAGAAGATTTTGGTGAAGAATCCATGGAAGAATCTGAAATTGATCAAGCTCAGGCTAAAACTGAAAAAGATTTTCAGAACAAAAGCCATAACTTGGGTGAAGATACAAAGAGAAGTTCAGATATCACTAGTGTGATCCTGATGAAGCAGCCGCATAAAAAGGACAAGCCCCATTGTGAAGAACCTGCAAGTGTCAATGCAGACACTAACATAGATTTCCATGAGGTGAATTCGTTGGGGCAATTCAACGATGAGGGGGAGGCTAAGGTGAGTGGAAGTCAGCAGTGTTTGAAAGATGCTTCCGAAGCTAACACAGAAGATGCTGGAGAAGAAGAGCCCATGGAAGAATATGAAGTTGATCATGCTGACGCTAATGTGGATAGTGCAGCTCATGGTCTGGAAGTTGCTGAAGAAGAACCCATGGAAGAATTTGATGTTGATCAAGCTGAGGCTAATGTAGATAGGGAAGCTGATGCTCTTGAAGTTGCCGGGGAAGAAGAATCCATGGAAGAATCTGAAGTTGATTATGCTGAGGCTAATGTGGATAATGCAGCTCATGGTCTTCCACCCTTGGCTTCTCTCACACCTGATGATGCTGCCCAGGAAGGTGAGTGCGAGGTTAAGGTGAGTGGAAGTCAGCAGTGTTTACATGTTTCAGATGTAGTTGCTGGAGAAGAATCCATGGAAGAATCTGAAATTGATCATGCTGCGATTAATGTGGATATTGCTGCTCATGCTCTTCCTCCCCTAGCTTCTCTCATACCTAATGCTGTCCCAGAACCAGTCTACAAAGGCATTGCTGGTAATGACAGTAAGCAATCTTTGCAAGATTTAACCTTGAGGAAGCTTACAAAGATGTTGAAAGAAAGAGCTACAGATCACAAAAGATCCTATGGAGAAGAACCTATGGAAGAATCTGAAATTGATCATGCTGCGATTAATGTGGATATTGCTGCTCATGCTTTTCCTCCCCTAGCTTCTCTCATACCTAATGCTGTCCCAGAACCAGTCTACAAAGGCATTGCTGGTAATGACAGTAAGCAATCTTTGCAAGATTTAAGCTTGAGGAAGCTTACAAAGATGTTGAAAGAAAGAGCTACAGATCACAAAAGATCCTAGTGGAAAGGAGGTTGCTAAAATCAAGGTAAGAACCATCAACTGATTCTTTTTAATTTGTGTGTTCCTTTCTTAAATGTGAAGTACAATTAAAGTGTTTTTTTGGTTCACAGGCGCCAAGCTCAAGATCAGCCTTGCAAACACTTCCAGAAAATCGTTTGATCAGTGACACTGAAAATTAAACGCTTATTAAAGGCAGACAACTCCACCTGCCAGTGAATGAACTTTGAGCACGATGTTGGATCAGCCTTGCAAACCTTCTTGGTTTGCTACTTCAGAGATATATCAAAATTTTGATCGCTCTTGTTTTTGTATTCCTAGAGTTTTTCAAACTTATATATGGAAAGTAAAACTATTCATACATATTGCTCTTTGTCAATATCTCAACTACTTATGATTGATAACCAGCAAAATATCTATGAAACTAGTGTGAAGGAGGTGATATAACTTAAAGTGCACCCTCTAACACTAACAGTTGCAATCTTTCTTTGAAGGAAGATTGGATCCCCTATTCAAACTTGATAAGTTGTTTCTCCAGATGAGTTAAACACTTAGCATATCCGTTCACGTTGCATCCAGACTAGAACTGCAAGAAACATTGCCTTTCTTCTTAATTTCGACTTTTGACAGATTATATCAGTAAAGGGCGCCTGCAGAAATCAAACAAACTACATGTTTGGTGTGACATTGCTGAAAAAGACTTTTCTTTTACGCACTTCTTATAACTCAATACTCGTCTAGTAAAACCATCACCCAAAATCACATGAAGCAAAGAAGATTGTTGAAGGAAGGAAGAAGTGAAGTAAGAAGGAAAAGATGCGGCATAGTTAACAAACGCAATCCTAAAACAAACTCTCGACAAGGTTCAAGAAACTCATCGCCAAGCATAGAAAAGAACCATGTCAAATAAGTTGAAAATCATTTTAAGTTTCTTATAAAAATGTAAAGATACATTATTAACATGCTCATCCATAGCTATTCCTTGACAATCAAGATTTTAAATGCCCTTCAGGTGGTCCTTTCATAAAACCATATTCCGCCAAAACAACTTAAGCAAGGGCAGAGCTATATTAGGAAATTCATCAAATATAAAACATTTAATTGTGAAATAAGTAACTAAGACGAGCTATGTGTTTAGTTCAGAACGCTTAATTGAGAAATGTTGACTTCAGCACATGAGTCTTTTATGAAGCATAACAGGATGACAAAAGGACTCCATTCATAAAAGTAGGAACATTTAAGGAAGAACTGGAATGATACATCTATAGGCACAAATTATTTTGGGAGCAGGGTGGATAAATTTGGCATGCTTTCAGTGTGGAATTACATACTGAAAATACTAAAAGTAGGCATCAACAGACACATTTCTAGTGTACGGGAAAGACCAATTGCAAGGCCCGTATTTCCGCATACAAAGAACCAAAAATCAAGCTTCACCTAGGCCAGGAATCAAGTGCCTAGTGTACTCCACTGCATCAGAAGCACAGACCCAAAAGTAAAGATTGTCAATGAGAGTTCAGGCGTTTCAATTTACAGACGACAAGGTATTCAGTTTTGTCCCTCAAAAGGGGAGGTTCTTCTTTTGTAAGCCTGCAAAAGCATATGAAAGTTAGATTAGCAGGTTATGGATGCCTGCAACACTCTTGAACATCCAGGCTAAGTGCAGACCTGATCAATCAGAAGGATGAAGTGCCCACTGAAGAGTACCCAGCGGCCTTGAGATCTTTCAGAGTGCTCGATAACCAGTCCAGTCCCTCATATAGGCCATCCCCACGAAGAGCACACGTGCCTTGAATATGCCATTTTCGGCTTTTTAGATCATAAAGACCAAGGCCTTCACACACTTCCATTGGGGTCATTGCTCCTTTCTGGACCAAAATTTGGAGAGAAAAAAAAGTTCAAGATTATAAAACTATGTGGCACAAGTGGAGAAGATGGAAAGGGGATAGAGGGGTGTGTATACACACACACATACATAGACTAGGAGAGACTTGAAGAGATTCGCCTCATTTCCACAAATTCTTTTAGATAGAAAACTGAATTATGGGCAAAACCCCCTCCAATATCATTTCCTAATGACATGAGAAGGAAAAAAATTGGATGCTTATCCACCCAACGAAAAAGAGAAAGAAGAGAGGATTAAAGGTGAATGACAGTCATCCTTCTTTTACTTCACCTCCTACCATACACCTTTTTACCCAGCAGTCATAATGCAACAGAAAAGTGACATAAGCAGAAACCACAAGCATAATAAAATTGGCATGCAGATTATGTATGAGATGGAAAGAGAAAGTGGGAGGTGGGAGTGGCCTCCGTGGTGGACAAGATGCGGGAAGCAAAGGCTGAGATGGTTCGGACATGTGAAGAGGAGATGCACAAATGCCCCAGTGAGGAGGGTGAGAGGTTAGCTATAGTGGCCAAGGAGAGGTAGAGGTAGGCTGAAAAAGTATTAAAGATAGATGATTAGGCAGGACATGGCACATCTTCAGCTTGCCAAGGACATGACCCTGGATGGGAGGGTGTCGAGATCGAGGATTAGGGTAACAGGTTAGTAAATAGTCGAGCATAATTCTTTTTCGTACCTGTATTGCTTTTCTATAGATGTAGTACTAGTGTATTCTCGTATTTCCTATTCTTAGATTTCTAATACTACATGTTTTCTTTTGCTTCGGCTATCATTTTTCTGGTTGTGATTACTGCTTCTCTTTAATACAACTGCAATACATTTTCTTTGATCCTGCAGTTGCTAGTTGGTTAATTGTGGCAATTCGTTATTCCTCACCTGCATGTTTGCTTTGTTACCTGCCACATCATCTTATTGCTAAAGTTCATGGTCATGCCTGGACTAGCTACATGAAAATTCTCATTTGTCTTTTTGCACCCAGAATTAATAAATAAATAAACAAAAACTAGTATAGATTCCAACCAAGAGTAAAACTTGGAAAAATATGCTGGAATCCATATTATCCTGCTCTTTTTTGAGAAAAATAACATTATATATCAGTTGCAAAAAGGTTGTGTAGAACCAATTTACATTCCAAATGAAGCAACAAGATGTCCTTGCTCTTCTTACAAGGATTCTATAATTATAATCAAAGATTCAGCATCATCTAGGAATTCTTACTTACACCAAAAAATAAAATAAGAGCAGACAATTCATCTTAATTATTTTGCACCTAATTACTTTCCATATTATTCTGCTCTTACAAGGCCAAGTAATATTTCCTGCCAAACCATTATTGCTTGTTGGAAAAATTCCATTAGGTCATAGCCCTTCGCACCTTTCCCACCATTCCCTTTGGATCAACGTAGGTAATCTGTTGCTAAGACTCAATCGATCAATCAATCAACTAATACTCAATCTCAAAACTAGTTGGGGTCGGCTACATGAATCCTCTATATCTATTTTGCTTTGATCAAACCCATTTCATTTCAATTACTATTAATTTGTTTTTAGGGAAATTAGAGGTTCTCTGAGTCCCACACTTGTCTCTATACTGTCCTACACGACTTCAATCAAACAAAAAGGACTTCTGGCCGCAATGAGGGGTTCTCCGAAGCTACATAATCTCTAAATCCCCTACTTATATCTATACTAATTCGTACAAGTCTCTGACCATATTATAAAGACTCCCTTTATGAATATGTTAAACCTGAGGCCGAACTTTCACTCCCATATAAAATTGTTGGTCTCACAACCGTTTCATAGAACTTCCATTTCACTTTATTAGGCATCTGCCGATTGCATAACACTATGGTAGCACTCATCCATTTCAGTCATCCTATTCTAATTCTATGTATTACATCTTTATTTATTATACTATCCTTCTGACAGATGGAATCTAGATATCAGAATTATAATTAGGAACTGCAGATTGACTCCTAAGAAGCAACAGTTGCAGATGTTGCTTTTTCTGCTGGCAATTTGGAGTTAAAGAAGAGGTAACGCTATATAATGATGTGAAACTTTCCCAAAGTAATGACATAGTCCTTGTGAATGGGTTGCATTGATAACCATCGAGGGTTAATACTTCAAGAAATTCAGCTTGACTTTCCACTTCAAAGAACCTATTCTTCATGAAAAAGTCATATATCTTCTATAATTGATCAGTCACGAGAAATAAACATTTAGAGTTGCAGACCAGTTAGGCAGAGCCCAAACAATTCAATGGTTATGAAGGTCTACTTTCGGAAGGTTTTGGTCAGAAAGGATAAGGAAAGAGGAGGAGCTGCTTCTTAGTTCTCGTATTAGTATGCTTTGGTGAGGTAAAATAACACGAGCATCTGCCTGACGAGATACAGACCACACCAATTTGTTTTCACTAACCAAGCACCAGAATACATCACATGCCAGCTCTGGATCACGCACAGGGAAGTTCAATAAACAAAACAGCATGTTAAAGCTTACAGAGGCCAGGACATAAGATATGCAAAATCTTTGAGTATCTTCTGTTATCTTTAAGAAATGTAATTATATCGTAAAAGCAGCACTAGGAAAGTTGAAATCTTTGAGTATCTATTGTCTTGGATTTATTTAGCAGTTTTCACCTATTAGTTTATGCTCCGACATTACATAAAGAGAGAAAATAAGATAACAAGCAACTAATTGTGTTTTGTTGATGCACAAGCCAACTGATATGACAAACTTACCATGTCCTGCTTATTAGCGAAAACCAAGATCACAGCATTAAGCATAAAAGGATCTCTGATGATGGCCTGAGAACACATTAAGAATGAGATTTCATTAGGTAAGTCACCAAGAAGTACCTGAATCAAAGAGATAAAGGTTCAAAAAAGGAACCTGAAACTCTTGCCTCGCCTTTCCAATTCTCTCTCGATCCAAAGAGTCAATGACGTAAATCTGTACACAATAAAACAATTCGTAAACAGATATAGTTACCATTTTACAGAGACAGGATGTGCAAGCAGTTAAAGATAGGATAGTTCATATAAAAGGGAAGATGTAGGTTTGGTTTTTGATATGGGAGTGGACTTACGTATTAGTAATGACATGTTCATATGATATATCACATTCACACATTTTCTCATTTAGAATATCTTCTAACTCTTCGAGGAATTAATCTTCCTATTTGGCTTTTAGGTAGTACTACCTGTGAAGAAAAAGAGGAGGGAAAATTCACCCTCTTTTTCTAACTAAAAGAGGGAAAATTCACCTTTCCCTCTCGCATTTAATTATACTAAAATTAAACTCAGCAGTAGATGCATAGAAGTCAGCAGCAGCAACAACAACAACAACAACAACAACAACAACAACAGACCCAGTGTAATCCCACAAGTGGGGTTTGGGGAGGGTAGTATGTACGCAGACCTTACCCCTACCTTCAATAAGGTAGAGAGGCTGTTTCCGAGATGCATAGAAGTCGACGCAGATACAATATAATATACATAGTTACCAGTCCATCCGTGTTATTAAAGTAATGCCTCCAGAGTGGCCTTAATTTCTCTTGTCCACCAACGTCCCACACAGTAAAAATCACATTCTTGTACTGGACTTTTTCTACATTGAAACCTGCATGCCATGCATATTCAATCAGCTATTACATAGACAGACATTCACTTGATGTCACAGTGTAATTACTCATTTCTGTAAAACTTTGCAATATTCCAAACAGGAAGGAATTTCCATTGCTAGATTTGAGATTCCAATTTGTGCCTTCTGCAACCACTACAATGTCATCTTAAGTGACGGCCTAAAAAGTACCTTCTTTGAGTGTTGATGTGGTTAATGAAGTTTTTAACTACCTCTAGCATGGCCTATTAAAGTACCTTCTTTGTAACAAGTGTTGATGCAATCTTCAATGAACTAAGAATACTTCTCAGACAAAAGATTGCACATGTAGTTCTTCAAGTAATAGAGATCTACTTTACTTTGTGAACCGAAATAGTGCAAAATCAACAATACTCAGCAATCCCTACCTTACACATCTATTAACATCAACCATATCCTAGGTAATGAAAAAATCCCATTTTCTCTGACAATTCATTAATAATCTACCAAGTATCTATTTAATAAGGAAAAGCATATTTATTGCCACAAATTCGGATATACATTCTGAATATTGAAGGAAACAACCCCCTATTAGCTATGTAGGGTGCTCATAAAATCTATCATATATTTCAGATCTTGGTGCTTTTTATATTTTTTACATTTGACATTGATAGGTCATATTACAGTTAGTTAAAACCTCAAATTCGTCAAGCAATCAAGAAATTTAAAAAAAATACAAATTGTCTAGTTGAGAACAATGTTGATGCAAGCAGATCCTGAATTGAAGCTCCAATTACACATTTTAATAACCAAGTGCCACACCGCTGAGATTTAAAGCAATTTGCATACCAATAGTAGGAACTGTAGACAGAACTTCTCCTATATGCAGCTTGTATAATATAGTTGTTTTTCCAGCCGCATCCAGCCCTAACATTACAACCTATGCGAAGCAAATCATAGAAAACATAGCAAAAATGTATAAGATATTGTACACATACGACAAGAATAATCTGCTAAAAAAATAATCAGAGACAAAAGTCATGCAGTGAACATAAGTCCATGACCTATGAAAACTGATTGCATGGATGATAAGAAATAAGCATCACTTGCATATTTAAACCTGCTACGAAATCTACCAACTTCTAGTAATTATTCTCAATAGAGGGGGTAAAAGTCATTGGGGAAACAAATTGGTTTTGCCTCCAAGAAACTCTTCCATTCCCTTCCCCCAAACCCCTCCCTATGCTGTCAACAATGTGGGCACTGCATTATAGACTAATAACCTAAGGCAGAAGATTCATGTGAGATAGAACCTCATACAAAAATTTTGATGATTACCTATTTGAAAAGAAAAAATTAAGGATGATGGCAAAGACCAGATCATATCTGACAAATTGAAGGTGTCTAATGATCTAAAGATGGCCATTTTAGGTTCTTTGCATGTTTACTCAACCTGCTTTAGAGGTCCTTTGCAGAACTGGGAGATCCCTCAGCAATATCAAGCCACTTGGTAGCTGGCACTCTGCACTATGTGGAAAATCATCCTAGAGGAAAAGGAATGGTATTGAAGGGAGCAGGACTATAACTTTTTATTCCACCTACATAGGACATAAATGGGTACCATTAGATTATTCTCACCGGTTCTTACTGAACTAGCTTCAGTGCATATTATTGTCTATTTTAATGAATTCAATTTTAGTATTTAGAGAAAAACATGTAATTTAAGTAACTTACAAGACCGGGTTTAAACATTAGTTACAGCAGTGCATTTAATTGAAGTCAGAAAGGAAGCAACCTGAGAAGCACAGCAACTGCACTAATGAACAAGAACCACCACTAACAGCAACGTGCCAAAAGGAAGAAAACAGTAATGTGCTAATGAAGAAAAGTTGATAAATGGAAGTTGTCCCCCAAAAAAAGAGAATCATAATTGCCATTTGTTATGAGGGCTTCCTTTATCTGTTTCCAACAGACAACTTTCTGTTAAGGCACCAATATTTAACTTTATCTTCTAAGTACTTATACTCAATTTGCTCCCTCAATGGCAAGTCTTTTAACCCTCAGATGTTGGGATAGGCGATAAACAAAGAAATCAACCCCAAGTTCTCCAACTCACGTAGACACATACAAAGAACAAATCATTTCACAGATTGGTGAACTCTATGTATGTCAACCATCACAATATACAACTATTATGAAAACCCAGCTGATAGTTTCTCCATAAGCCGCATGAAGACGCTTTAAAGCTAAATTCAACCCTGCATATTACATTCATTCCTCAGCAACCTCAAACATGTTAATACTTTATATCACTCAATTTCCACAAAAATATATAGCCCGTGTGTTATATACTTAAGATTGTGAATGCCAAGATTCAAGTTGTAGCATCCACTCAGGAATGACCAAGCAAAAAAAAAGTATAAAATGTTGGAGTGGGAGCTATTAAATAGTAAGGAAATTGAAGAACTCGTCCTTAATACCTTGAGAACAGAAAATCCCAAAAAAATGGAGTAAAACCTCAAATTAATAATCATAAGAAACCTTTACAACAACTATATATAACTCCTACCCCAAAATTCCTAACCTAGACAAGACTCTTAATTAAGGTAAGACTAAAAGAGGTATTTTCAAGACCTCTTTTCTTGCGCGCACCTCCACTGATGACTGGTCCATAAGGTAACTGCTTCTTAATTAAGGTAACAGTCCAATAGCTAAAAAAGAAAAACTAAATATAGCTAAAAATAGAAAAAATTATCGTCTCTTAACTCAGACACGGATCAAAAGTCACGGTCACTTAAGATTAACACAATCATGAACCAAAGTAAGTGGAATTGGGAAGTATATGGAACTTAAATTGGCAAAAATCATAAGTGATGAAATTTAATTACAAATTGGAAAAATAAAAAGGGGAGTCGGAAACTATAAAAGTGTGTGCTTGGGCATTTACCCTCATCTCAGAGTTGCCGAAGAAGGTATCAAATAACTTGCGAAAGGCTTGTCCCATTCCGCCTTATGTTTTCTCCAAAAGCGAATCAGATGAATTGGAGAGTGAGACGTGAAGGATCCAAGCTATTCCATAACTATAATTTGATGATCGATTTGAGAAACAGAAGAAACGCTCCTTGTTGAGAAGGTAGCGCTCTTTTTCCTTTGTTTTTTGAGTTTCTTTGATTCTTTCTTTTCCTTTTTTTATTTATTATTATATTCCTTGATGCCATTGTTTTTTATTTCCGTCATGGAAATGGATTACTTTTGCAAGTTGCAAATATGGTCTTTAACTAATACTCGTACTACTTTGGATCAATTATTTGTTATACATTTCCATGTCACTGTACATTTTTGAGGCGTTAACATTTATATTCCCCAAGTAAAAATATTGTACTAATATATAGTCATATGATGGGGATATAATTTCATTTCATATTACTTTTCTTAGAGTCATGTTATAAATATAATAACCAATATTCAACTCATTAGGATAATAATATTCGGCTGTCCACTATGGAGAAGAGGTTACATTTGAACCTTGCACTAGTGTGAATTTCAGTTATATCATGATTATTGTTGTTCTATTTTACCTTGAATTATTCAAATTATCAAAATTTAATGGATTTCTTTACAAATGATAATGTTCTAGTTGTCTTGAATCTTAGGATATATTCCTTCTTTTGAAAAGGGTCAAGTCATTGAACTATTGACTTTGGATCAAATTTACCCTATGTCCATCTATCGGTCCAAAAATGCCCATAACGTTAATTTTTTAGTTTGTTTATGCCCTTATGACTAACCGTCAACTCTCAAATAAAAATAATATTTATTTAATTATAACATGACAACTTCCTATTGGCTCTGCTTAAAACTTCATCCCATATCTATTTAATAACCTAACCACTGAAACACTAACCCGCCCTGGCTGATCCTTATTTGGGGTGTCCTTGCTAAGATGACAATGCGTTGTTTTAATTCCTCTATGGCATATTCCATAAACTACAAGCTTCTAGTAACTTCTGTTGAATCGATGCAAAATTGAAACTTCAATGGAGTTCTGAGAACCCAAATGAAGGCCTATGTGATCATGCTGTCCTTTTCCTACCAATTTCTCTTTACTCTTTAATCCAAGTATGGACTTGACCTTCCAGTATGGAGGTCTTCTGTTTTATTAATTAACACGTACATCACTTTTATTTTTCACGCTAAACTAGAGTTTGTAAAGAATGACAATCGTGTGAAGCTCGGTCTTAATGCTCAAGGTGCTCTAGGCGATGCTGGTTGGTACTGCATTCGCACGATCTTGTTGCTAATGGAACCAAATTACCAAAGGAAATATGTAGATCAATGACTTTGTAGTTTTGTATCAAGAAAATATTGCTCCATTTTACACAGTGGAAAATTCGGTATGAGGTGAATGTTTGTTAGCAATTGGTCCTACACCATGTGAGCAAAAAGTCAGCACACATCTTCTCCTCAAGAGGCTCTCATGGTAAAGGAGTTCCCGAACTTGGTTGGAAGTATCAAAGGGGAAGGTTGTAAACCTGAGAAGAAGTGGCCAACAGTTAGTAGAAAGACACCCCAAAATGATTTTCCCGGTAATATTGTGGAATTTTCGGGTTTTAGTCGTGGGTAGGTTATTAAATAGATATGGGATGGAGTTTTAAGCAGAGCCAATAGAAAGTTGTCACGTCATAATTAAATAAATATTATTTTTATTTGGGAGTTGACTGTTAGTCATAAGGACATAAGCGAGCCAAAAAGTTAATGTTAGGGGCATTTTTGGACCGATAGGTGGACGTAGGGTAAATTTGACCCTAAGCCGGGGACAGTTTTGGCCCTTTTCCATTCTTCTTTAATAAGATTAACTCCCTACTTCCAAGAATTGTATACATCCTGGGTTCTTGGTGCTTATTGTTCTAGTTTCTTAACTATTATATATGTGATATAAGTTTGAATTAGCCCTTGCAGCCAAACACTTCAAGCCTTGTTTTTTAACTCCTACATATCCTATTTTCCCAATACCAATGAGTTGTGTTCGAGTGACACAGTAAGTTTAAATCCAACTGAAAATTTTAATCAATAGTCACTTGTACAAAACTGTCATTTTCTATAAGAGGAAAACGAAGGCATTTTATTATATATATTAAAAAAAAAAGAATTAGTGGAATATATATATAGTAACTGCGTCTACAGGGAACATGTTGGGAAGCAATGGGACCAGAATTATTATTGCATAGAAAATATCCATTAAACTATATAGAACTACATTCAACAAGTTGACTGCAATAAAAGCGAGTTGGGAACAAGCTAGAGGAATCACCAACTTATACATTATTCTGACAAATAAGATCTCTGAATCTGCAGAACAAATGAGAGAGAACCATTTGCTTTCTCAAAAAATGAGTTTGTGCCAATTTCCCTTGCATATCACTGACCAAATATCATACTTACTGCATCTCTATGAGAAAATACACCACTATTTCCACCAGTAAACAATCATTATTTCCTCACAACAAGCCAATGCCCTGTACATATAACACCTATTCCTGGTGCTGAAATAAGGAGGCCAATTCAAGAACCTGTCTGACCTGCAAGACAGTTTTGGTTTGAAGTTGGCATTTATGATAAAGATAGCACAATGGAAGTTTGCTGTATGTTATGAGTTTAAGGATGAACAAATATTATTAATGCGCATTTGATACTGATAATTTCAGCTTTCCTGATCTTGTGCTAAAATATAAACATTCCTGACACCTGTTTACCTAGTTTGCTAATGGACCAAATTCAGTTAAATGATAAGTGAAGTGGAGACTCTACAGGGATGCAAGAGGAGATCCTCGAGAACCAAATACATCACAAGACAGAAATCATCTCTCTTACCAGCAATATAACTATTTCCAGATCGCTAGAGAAAACACAACTGACAGATCCTCTAACAAATAGCATTGTTCAGCTGCCATTCTAACTGAATGTCCACAATTCAACTTGCACTTTATATACAGATGATCAAGCCTTAAGTATCTGCACCTTCAGCCTGTCCTTTTTGAGAACTCTCAAACGAAATTGCTTTTCCCTTGACATCTGAAGCTCCTACAGCAGCAGCTGCTTTCTGTGTCTTTGAACTCCGTAGAAGCATGAGCTGGCTTCGCAGAACCTGGATTCACAAATGAAGTTTCCTTACATATATGATATAATAACAAGGCTTTCTGTGAAAGATCAAATAAGAAAAAAGTTTACCAGAAAAAGAAAGGCTAAGAAGAAACAATCTTAAAAAATGAGACTCTAATCCGCTACAATGTGACCTTATACAGGCTGAAGCTATACATCAATTTCATTTCTGATCAA